CAGCTGCCATTCTGAAGGACCTCGGTCTCCCATTATGAAAAACGAAGCCGCAACCAGCGGTCCTTGGCAATTTAACACTCAAGGAAGCGCATGCCTCCAGATTTCGTAATGTCCACCCGTGAAACAGAAAGGAAAGCCAAATGGGCTGGAGTATGGAAACGTAGCAATACTTTCGCTCAATTTACACAACCTACTAACAGTTTGTCATGTTGAACTCTGATATAACTCTTACTGAATTTTGGTTACTCTGAAAACACTGTTCTGTTGAATCAGCGCATCGATTTATCCGCTCCGATAGGCATTGCGTTTCCCACGTAAATGATACATTCTCGAGCTCCCATAAGAAGAGCTTCCGACCTACATCACCACGATGTCACCACGCGATGTCATTAGATGTTGTCATGCATCATCGCAACCCATAGGTTGCAGTGCAGAAAAGTCGTGTCGTGATATGATCAGGCTTGGAAATTAATGACTTCAATTTGATTTTCTTATTAGCGAAATCGGCTTACTTGATCATGAAAATTCAGAGCCGATCCCTGAAAAATCACTGGAATTTGAGACCTCGATGTTGAGGACGTCGCTGAAGTCTAGCGGCCAAACCTAGCCCCATATTCGACAATATGATGCACTCATGGTGAACTCAAGAGACTCCAGTGTCTTTATACCTGTAAGATGAGTCCTAGTCTGCGGAAATAGTGGGCTCGTCAACCAAATAATAATCTCTCGATGTACTGAATGATTCGCCGAATAGCATTTTGAATATTTTTTCGTAGAACCATGCTACAAGTGGCGAATCCAGCCGAAGGTCTCCTCACAGAACGGCCATAGAATGATCAACGATGATGAGGGACATTCTGCTGTAGACCGTAGATTCAAGACCACAAAATAATGGGATCGATCACAGAGATCGCGGTTTCAGCTTGCCGATTCCGGCTCGATTTAGAGTCGGGTCGAACTCAAAATAATTACCGATCAGCATACGATCGGGGAAACTCCAAACGATCCCTGAGGACCTCATGATGATGAGTACACAGACACCATTTCGTTTCCTGGCATAGTTCGCATATGTCATCGTGAATGGAGTTGTGCCCTGAGGCCCCAAGTAAAACCTCAACGGTGGCAACTTGCTCATGTATTGGCAAGGAAAATACCATTGCTCGGTCATTGGGTTAAACTTAAACGCAGCCTTGTCAGTTTGAGTTTTAATACCATTGATGAGAGTGTCATAGTGTGATATTGGGACGTATAGATTGTTGGCGCCGGTGTCGAGATCTAGGTTCATGTTGATTCTAGAAGTTATGTGTCCATCACCGACTTGTAGCTTGTCAATATTAACCGTGTACCCTTTGTCGGTAGAGAAGTCGACATACCTCAATGCACCCTCATATAATGCAGAGTCACCTCCACCCAGAATTATGCCTCCATCAGCCGATGCTTCCATGGGATCAGCGGCAGGATATAAGTAGAGAGCAATGATCCCGCTCGTTACAGTTTTTGATGATCGCAACTGCGTCATCAGAGACGGGAAGTTCACATCACCTTCATCATAGCCAAGACCCAACAAGTTAGTCGGAGGAGCTGCACTGACGGGAGGTTTCTGACCGAATATCAGCCCGAAAGTGAGGATCTGCGACACCTGACCCATGGTTAGTTTCGATTTGCGCTGGAAAAATTTCACCATGTATTTGTCCACGAAAGTAGCAGTTCCCGTAACTTTACCCACCGAGCAAGGCTCCGAGCATGCGTAACACCCCATGGGCCAAATACTGCAGGAGTGCCCACTGGCTTTCTCGTACCAATCCTTCCAGATGAAGAAAGAGAAACCCGATCCAGTGTCAACGAGAGCATGTAGCTTCTGGCCATTCTCGCCGACCAGAGTATGATACAATCCGGGGCCGTATTGAGGCATATCTTCGTACTGCACATCCAGCTTGAGGGTTGCTCCTCGGGAGACCTCCAACACGTCAAATAGATACACCAAAGAGAGCAGTCGGACGGGCATAGAAGAACGCATTCTGACCAATATTTTGGATCGCAATATAGCTGAGTGGCACGTCTTTGTCTCGCGGCTCGAGCTCACCTGATGAATCGCGGCAGCAAGCTTCGGCAACCAAAACCATCAAGAGGGAATTTAGCGTGTTAATTCGGTTTTAGGCGGCCAAACGAGCAGAACGATGCCATCCATCTACCGATCGAAACCGAAAACCCAGCGATTGTCCGGTTGATCTGCGACCCCAATTCGGGCCTTAGATTTCTCATTTTTGCTAGCCTCGCTGCGTCGTGTCACGAGTGTCACCTGTGCGTGTGTCTCGTGTACATCATTGTCTCGGAGACAATGTCCCTAATAGGGACTCCCTATGTATCTTTTTACCTCCGCAGATGGCATGGTTATCTGATATTATCATCAGCTACTTCTGTCTCAAATCAATTCCCTTTCGCTTATTCATCTTGGTTCATCTGAAACCCGAATGCATCGTCAGGTCGCAGTGAGTTGTACGTGAAGGTGACGCATAAGGTCGTGTGGAAGTTGACCTGCACACGTGAAGTAATCGATTTCCCCGTATACAAACCAGGCCAACCGCTCAAAAAGTATTTCTTCTCTCACGTCACATCGGCTGCACAACTGGTTTCTGGATCTTCTTCCTCGAGACAGTATACGTATGCGTATTGTGTCGCGGTATCAGTTGATTGACTCTAAGGACAACACATTAGGGGAGCTCGAGCTAGAGCAACGTATACTACGACCCTAGGACAATGACAATGAGCACACTGCCCGCACTTGAGTTCTGCACGAATGCACTCACTTAGCAGCAGCACAATAATCGATATTGGGCTCATTCGCTATAAAGGGGAAGGCGAAGGTTCGATAAGTACTGAAACTCCTGATCTTATTCATTACAGCTTGAGGGCTGTGAGCCGTTTACGTAATAAATGAAGAGCGAGAGCGATTCGTGAATACGTGCGCGAACAAACAGCATATCATGTTGTTCCACGAGTAGCAACTTCAACCAGACTCAGCTGTGGCTCGCAGCACTCGACACTCTGCCGACTCTCTGCGGCACGTTGCATCGAAGAATGACAAGAGTCCGACTCGGACTAGTCATTAATTGATATAGTGCTCGCACTGTCCGAGCCAAGATTCCTAGTCTAGGCATCTTGATTCGGACTCCGAATCAAAATGCCCCGAATTTCGGAGTCCGAATCATCATTTTGTTTTATCATTTTTTTGGAGGTCAGCGTCATCGAAATCCCTGGAGCCACGGCCTTCCTCTCCAAGGCCCAAGCGCTCGTACTCAAACCGCGCGGACTCGCTGAGGTCGTCATCGGCGTTAGTGGAGGCGGTCGCTTTAGTTTTCCAGCCCGCGTTGAAGGGCTCAGCGACCTCATGATTGTATTAACGCCTAATAATTAGCCCCACCCAAACCTTATCTCGGTGCCTGATGCCGAAACTTATTCAACTAGCCTAATTGCCACTCAGGATACTCTTCTGCTATCCCTAGCTCCTGACGAAGTGATATTTCTCTCGGGCCCAATCCAGAATTTCACATGTTAGTAACATGATGTTACATCTTCGAGCCCCATTTTCCTTGCTTCCTATCTCATGCGAGTGCGCACCGGATCGCAAGGCAGTCTAACAGCTGACGGCCTGGGCGACGGACGCTGAATAACAGTCTATGGATAGAGGACTGCCCCGAGCCCATCGTACTTATCCCCCGTACACTTGCCCACTTTCGGAAGCGATATCCAGTTGGACGATAGTTCAGTTAACTAAGTTCACACTTGCCCAGGAGATAGGGAAGCAATAGGATACTCTGATCTCCTCATCGAGGTGGTTGATCAATGCGCAAGGCAGTCGGCCACATCAAGGGATCGTCAATACATGATCAACGGTCGATATGGTCTATAGTTCGTCGCGAGTTAGATGTGAGGGGCTGCAAGGGTATTATACCGAAGCATCTTAAGGCGAAAGACTTTGCCGCATATATGGATGATGTAGCCGTGAATCTAGGTAACTTGACTTACGGCTACATCATCCGCAGTGTGGTTTCCGGGAATCTCGATCCTCGACCGAGGTTATTCATGCAACGAACATCTTGCGTGATGGTTGTTTGACACATAGTAAGTCCTCATGTCTACTCGCGGCGGACTACGAGAAAGCATTCGACAGACTCGAGCGCCGATATATGATCGATTGTTTACGGGCAGCGGGTCTACATCCAAAATACTTGCGAATCATATATCAGAGTTATGAACATGCAGCAG